GCCTCGTTGGAGATTTCTCATTTTCTTCCTGGGTACTCTGACGTGGGGATACCCAGAGGCCGCACCCTCTGCCAGCCTTTCACGAAACAAAGCTTCCCAAACCTTTCAGCACTGAAGAACGATGCTGTTCCTACTTAGTTTGGACCAGCGGGAGATTCGGGTACACAACCTGTCAGTATTCATTGTTGTTTGTGTATTTATGATGTTTAAAACAAACAAGGTATCTACCACGACTGTTTAAATGGGTAAACGTTTTTCGGACTGCTAAGTTGGGGTGGTGGAGAAATGCTCTCCGCAGATTCTCACAGCCTTATAAACCTTTGTCTTACTCAATATCAAGCCACACTTATTGTTTTTACTTCGGCTGTGAGTGTTTGTGTGCTCAGGATGAGTTTGGCTTGTTCTCGCTGTATCGCCAAGCCTGTCTGCTCCTGCAGCAGTGTGTGCGTCTGTGTGTGTGTGAGCAGCAACGAGCCTGTCAGCTTCTCGACCAATGAGCAGGAGCTCCATCAAGCCGTGTAGGACAGAGAGTGAATACACATACTATACAGAGATGCTGTGAGAAACCAATGTGAGTTTGGAACATTGAACTATAGAAATCTATTCTAGTCGACCTCAACAATGGAACTATGATCAGTAGAAATGGCCATGACATGGAGCCTTTAAAATGTTAAGACATTTTTTTTTTGAACAAAAAGTCAACACTTTTCCTAAGAAATCTCAGAAAAAGTCAGTATTAGTTTAATCTCTTTTGGTCATATCCACATATATTCACACGTGGCCCTCGTCCTCTTCCGTAGATTTCTACATTACACATATTTCTTCGTTGCTATTATATAAGTAAATGTCCTGAATATCTCATACCGAGCACAGAACACATGAATATTAAATTACACAACAACGACCGTTAATAAACCAACAACAGGAACACGTAACCTTTTCTCACTGAGAGCATGTTGCAGTGACTAACACACACACGCACACACACGCGCACACACACACACACACCCACACAACTATCCAGGCAAACTTGACACTGTCCCCCAATGATGACATCATCCCTCTATGCTGGCCTAAAGGTCGCTGATGTCCAGAAGCCGGCCTTGGGCAAAAAAGTGGTTCACTTCCTCACATGGCTTCACAGTGACACACACACACACACACACACACACACACACACACACACACACACACACACACACACACACACACACACACACACACACACACACACACACACACACACACACACACACACACACCACACACACACACACACACACACACACACACACACACACACACACACACACACACACACACACACCACAGGTTGTAATTGAGTGGCAGAATCTCGCCTGAAGACAGCAGACTGCTTCCCCATAACTCTCTCTCATTAGATCCACTTCCTGGGACTCAAATGTCTCTTACCAGCAACAACACAATGGACTCCTTGCTTTTGGATATTTTCATTTCAGTTGAGTAGATTTACTACAAATATTTGCATATCCTTAAGTCAATCAAATACAAAAATGTAAATGCCTTAATCATGATTACCACACAATTGAAATACTAGCATTTATGTTAGATATCAAACAATGTGTGGTGGTGTAATAAAGACATGCCTGCGAACTGGTTAGAGAAATGAGAGCATTCTTTAATCATGATTTCTGAATTTTTGACATAAACTCCTACAATCTTCCAACACGCGCTAAAGCATTGTTACGTGCCCTGTTGTGTCTGTGTGTGTCTCTCCCCTCTCCCCCTGAGTCTCCTCTGTGTAATGTACGCTACAAAGGGCAATATCATGTTCCTATACAACTCAACTTCATCCTGTAACTGCATTACTTCGGCAGTTTGTAAACAATGTGTACATTGAAACATAAGGAGAGAAAAAAAGGGCGACTGCAAGTGGATTTGTTTATTTTTACAACAACAAAATACCCGCTTAGGGTTGAGCAAAAGATCAAAGTTTGATACGTTGTTTTAAATTAATTACTGAACATACATTCAAACGATTTTATTCATATTTGGGGGAAAGTCCCGGTTTATTTGAATCTATCAAACACTACCTGGATATTTTGACCAACCATAACCATTGCATTATACATTTTCAAGTGACTGTTATTTTGTATTGATTGTTGTGCTTTTCTTTATATCTTAATGTGTATAAATATATCTGTTGATTGTGTATATTTAAGCAATAGCTCACGACAGGCTTTGGTATATGCTCATTATATCACAGCTAAGGGGAGTGGTTCGGCCCGACGCCCCTTAGCAACCCCCGTTGTTAGTTCGTTTCGTAACGGACGTAATGTAACAGCTGTAACGGTTGTAGCTTTTCTCAGACGCGGAGGGATACTGACTTGTTGTGAAAAGTAACTACAATTCTTCTTGGAAGAACTGAACAAACACAGTACATTTGACCATCAGTAGTAAAACGTTACCTGAAGAAGGTGACGAAGAACTGCACCAGGTCCATGATGCTGTTGTGCTGAGAGAAGGCAATCTGTTGGGACAGAGGAAAGAAACACATAGTGAAGATACAAAAAAAACCTTTTCAACGAAATGAACTAAAGCACACTGATTGAACATTTATGAATTCATGAAGCCAAAACTAACTGGATAAAAACATGCCATACATAAATGCATTTCAGATGTGGGTGAAGTGAACTCTTAACATGTTTTTTGTTTAGGTTGATTAACGAAAAGGCTGTTAAAATATATCTTAAAAATATACACTTTGGTTTGTTGCACCATAAGAAAAATAAATGTATTTCCGCTTGTTTCATCAGCAAACACACCCACACACACTTCACCTCTACCCTCAAAAAGATCTGTCTTCATCAACAGCTGAGTGTGTGTGTGTGTGTGTGTGTGTTTGTGTGTGTGTGTGTGTGTGTTTTAGAGGAAACTTTTTGCCCTCAGCGATGAGAGATTTGAGCTGAAAAGCCATTGTTGTCCATGTTTAAACTCCATCGCGTTAAGAGGATTATTTATTACAGACATAATTCATTTTCCTTTTGTTTTGTTTGTGTTGCCCTGTAGGAAATAACACTCAGCCGATGTGTTTGTTGGAAGGATCACAGAATACTGAAGCCTTTTTGGAGAAAGACGAGCATGCTGATGTTCAGGTGTATATCAGTATGTAGTGTCTCTACTTTAAAGAGTCCTCTCCTGCTGATGTTCAGGTGTATATCAGTATGTAGTGTCTCTACTTTAAAGAGTCCTCTCCTGCTGATGTTCAGGTGTATATCAGTATGTAGTGTCTCTACTTTAAAGAGTCCTCTCCTGCTGATGTTCAGGTGTGTATCAGTATGTAGTGTCTCTACTTTAAAGAGTCCTCTCCTGCTGATGTTCAGGTGTATATCAGTATGTAGTGTCTCTACTTTAAAGAGTCCTCTCCTGCTGATGTTCAGGTGTATATCAGTATGTAGTGTCTCTACTTTAAAGAGTCCTCTCCTGCTGATGTTCAGGTGTATATCAGTATGTAGTGTCTCTACTTTAAAGAGTCCTCTCCTGCTGATGTTCAGGTGTGTATCAGTATGTAGTGTCTCTACTTTAAAGAGTCCTCTCCTGCTGATGTTCAGGTGTATATCAGTATGTAGTGTCTCTACTTTAAAGAGTCCTCTCCTGCTGATGTTCAGGTGTGTATCAGTATGTAGTGTCTCTACTTTAAAGAGTCTTCTCCTGCTGATGTTCAGGTGTATATCAGTATGTAGTGTCTCTACTTTAAAGAGTCCTCTCCTGCTGATGTTCAGGTGTATATCAGTATGTAGTGTCTCTACTTTAAAGAGTCCTCTCCTGCTGATGTTCAGGTGTGTATCAGTATGTAGTGTCTCTACTTTAAAGAGTCCTCTCCTGCTGATGTTCAGGTGTATATCAGTATGTAGTGTCTCTACTTTAAAGAGTCCTCTCCTGCTGATGTTCAGGTGTATATCAGTATGTAGTGTCTCTACTTTAAAGAGTCCTCTCCTGCTGATGTTCAGGTGTATATCAGTATGTGGTGTCTCTACTTTAAAGAGTCCTCTCCTGCTGATGTTCAGGTGTGTATCAGTATGTAGTGTCTCTACTTTAAAGAGTCCTCTCCTGCTGATGTTCAGGTGTATATCAGTATGTAGTGTCTCTACTTTAAAGAGTCCTCTCCTGCTGATGTTCAGGTGTATATCAGTATGTAGTGTCTCTACTTTAAAGAGTCCTCTCCTGCTGATGTTCAGGTGTATATCAGTATGTAGTGTCTCTACTTTAAAAGAGTCCTCTCCTGCTGATGTTCAGGTATATATCAGTATGTAGTGTCTCTACTTTAAAGAGTCCTCTCCTGCTGATGTTCAGGTGTATATCAGTATGTAGTGTCTCTACTTTAAAGAGTCCTCTCCTGCTGATGTTCAGGTGTATATCAGTGTGTAGTGTCTCTACTTTAAAGAGTTCTCTCCTGCTGATGTTCAGGTGTATATCAGTATGTAGTGTCTCTACTTTAAAGAGTCCTCTCCTGCTGATGTTCAGGTGTATATCAGTATGTAGTGTCTCTACTTTAAAGAGTCCTCTCCTGCTGATGTTCAGGTGTATATCAGTATGTAGTGTCTCTACTTTAAAGAGTCCTCTCCTGCTGATGTTCAGGTGTATATCAGTATGTAGTGTCTCTACTTTAAAGAGTCCTCTCCTGCTGATGTTCAGGTGTATATCAGTATGTAGTGTCTCTACTTTAAAGAGTTCCTCTCCTGCTGATGTTCAGGTGTATATCAGTATGTAGTGTCTCTACTTTAAAGAGTCCTCTCCTGCTGATGTTCAGGTGTATATCAGTATGTAGTGTCTCTACTTTAAAGAGTCCTCTCCTGCTGATGTTCAGGTGTATATCAGTATGTAGTGTCTCTACTTTAAAGAGTCCTCTCCTGCTGATGTTCAGGTGTATATCAGTATGTAGTGTCTCTACTTTAAAGAGTCCTCTCCTGCTGATGTTCAGGTGTATATCAGTATGTAGTGTCTCTACTTTAAAGAGTCCTCTCCTGCTGATGTTCAGGTGTATATCAGTATGTAGTGTCTCTACTTTAAAGAGTCCTCTCCTGCTGATGTTCAGGTGTATATCAGTATGTAGTGTCTCTACTTTAAAGAGTCCTCTCCTGCTGATGTTCAGGTGTATATCAGTATGTAGTGTCTCTACTTTAAAGAGTCCTCTCCTGCTGATGTTCAGGTGTATATCAGTATGTAGTGTCTCTACTTTAAAGAGTCCTCTCCTGCTGATGTTCAGGTGTATATCAGTATGTAGTGTCTCTACTTTAAAGAGTCCTCTCCTGCTGATGTTCAGGTGTATATCAGTATGTAGTGTCTCTACTTTAAAGAGTCCTCTCCTGCTGATGTTCAGGTGTATATCAGTATGTAGTGTCTCTACTTTAAAGAGTCCTCTCCTGCTGATGTTCAGGTGTATATCAGTATGTAGTGTCTCTACTTTAAAGAGTCCTCTCCTGCTGATGTTCAGGTGTATATCAGTATGTAGTGTCTCTACTTTAAAGAGTCCTCTCCTGCTGATGTTCAGGTGTATATCAGTATGTAGTGTCTCTACTTTAAAGAGTCCTCTCCTGCTGATGTTCAGGTGTATATCAGTATGTAGTGTCTCTACTTTAAAGAGTCCTCTCCTGCTGATGTTCAGGTGTATATCAGTATGTAGTGTCTCTACTTTAAAGAGTCCTCTCCTGCTGATGTTCAGGTGTATATCAGTATGTAGTGTCTCTACTTTAAAGAGTCCTCTCCTGCTGATGTTCAGGTGTATATCAGTATGTAGTGTCTCTACTTTAAAGAGTCCTCTCCTGCTGATGTTCAGGTGTATATCAGTATGTAGTGTCTCTACTTTAAAGAGTCCTCTCCTGCTAGATGTTCAGGTGTATATCAGTATGTAGTGTCTCTACTTTAAAGAGTCCTCTCCTGCTGATGTTCAGGTGTATATCAGTATGTAGTGTCTCTACTTTAAAGAGTCCTCTCCTGCTGATGTTCAGGTGTATATCAGTATGTAGTGTCTCTACTTTAAAGAGTCCTCTCCTGCTGATGTTCAGGTGTATATCAGTATCAGTATGTAGTGTCTCTACTTTAAAGAGTCCTCTCCTGCTGATGTTCAGGTGTATATCAGTATGTAGTGTCTCTACTTTAAAGAGTCCTCTCCTGCTGATGTTCAGGTGTATATCAGTATGTAGTGTCTCTACTTTAAAGAGTCCTCTCCTGCTGATGTTCAGGTGTATATCAGTATGTAGTGTCTCTACTTTAAAGAGTCCTCTCCTGCTGATGTTCAGGTGTATATCAGTATGTAGTGTCTCTACTTTAAAGAGTCCTCTCCTGCTGATGTTCAGGTGTATATCAGTATGTAGTGTCTCTACTTTAAAGAGTCCTCTCCTGCTGATGTTCAGGTGTATATCAGTATGTAGTGTCTCTACTTTAAAGAGTCCTCTCCTGCTGATGTTCAGGTGTATATCAGTATGTAGTGTCTCTACTTTAAAGAGTCCTCTCCTGCTGATGTTCAGGTGTATATCAGTATGTAGTGTCTCTACTTTAAAGAGTCCTCTCCTGCTGATGTTCAGGTGTATATCAGTATGTAGTGTCTCTACTTTAAAGAGTCCTCTCCTGCTGATGTTCAGGTGTATATCAGTATGTAGTGTCTCTACTTTAAAGAGTCCTCTCCTGCTGATGTTCAGGTGTATATCAGTATGTAGTGTCTCTACTTTAAAGAGTCCTCTCCTGCTGATGTTCAGGTGTATATCAGTATGTAGTGTCTCTACTTTAAAGAGTCCTCTCCTGCTGATGTTCAGGTGTATATCAGTATGTAGTGTCTCTACTTTAAAGAGTCCTCTCCTGCTGATGTTCAGGTGTATATCAGTATGTAGTGTCTCTACTTTAAAGAGTCCTCTCTGCTGATGTTCAGGTGTATATCAGTATGTAGTGTCTCTACTTTAAAGAGTCCTCTCCTGCTGATGTTCAGGTGTATATCAGTATGTAGTGTCTCTACTTTAAAGAGTCCTCTCCTGCTGATGTTCAGGTGTATATCAGTATGTAGTGTCTCTACTTTAAAGAGTCCTCTCCTGCTGATGTTCAGGTGTATATCAGTATGTAGTGTCTCTACTTTAAAGAGTCCTCTCCTGCTGATGTTCAGGTGTATATCAGTATGTAGTGTCTCTACTTTAAAGAGTCCTCTCCTGCTGATGTTCAGGTGTATATCAGTATGTAGTGTCTCTACTTTAAAGAGTCCTCTCCTGCTGATGTTCAGGTGTATATCAGTATGTAGTGTCTCTACTTTAAAGAGTCCTCTCCTGCTGATGTTCAGGTGTATATCAGTATGTAGTGTCTCTACTTTAAAGAGTCCTCTCCTGCTGATGTTCAGGTGTATATCAGTATGTAGTGTCTCTACTTTAAAGAGTCCTCTCCTGCTGATGTTCAGGTGTATATCAGTATGTAGTGTCTCTACTTTAAAGAGTCCTCTCCTGCTGATGTTCAGGTGTATATCAGTATGTAGTGTCTCTACTTTAAAGA